ATGAAAATGTATAACAGTTTGTGAGATTACTTAAAAGTTCTTGTAGAACCTCTTTGTGACAGAACAAGATTTACTGTTGTTTAAGGCTTTAAGAAGCTGATCTAGAGAGCATTTCCTTTAGATATTGAGAATTCGTTTCTATGCTGTATATTAAAAGGGGATTATCTTCTGCAGAATTTACCTTAAGTGCTGTAGGCTATATTTATAGGAGCTATCTGGAGTGTTTTGCCACACAGATACCATTTTAGATGTCAATTTTTTTGTATACAAGCACAGTCGTGCAGAAGAACCTTTACACATTTCCTGCACAAACCAAATGTGAAGATCAAAAAAGGTTTGTTTTACTGTTATTTAGAAAACAGAATTTCAGTAGTAGAGGAAAGAGAAGAGTGTTTGATGAAAGAAGCTGGCATGGAACAGAAGCATCTGCATGTTTCTGTAGAAATTTTGACATCTGCGCTTTGCTTCCATCCTTCTCAGCATGTTCGTATTTGCTGAAAAGGTGATTATAAGCAGCTAGGAAGAGAGAATAAAATAGTTGATAATAGTAGTGCTCCAGCTGAGGGGGTGTACCTCCTAGAAGATGATATCAGATTTCAATTTCTTCCTACACTGCTTTGAGAAATAAAAACAAAAAAAAATTGGTTTGACAGTAATTTTGTTTTTGTACAGGGAAATATAATTTTTTTATCTCTTCCTCATTTAAATGTGTGTGTTCATTTAAACACTTAAATAAGAGATCAAGCACTGTGTGTGCCTAACATAGAATAATATACAGTGCTTTTGCTTTTTTATACTGGCTTCTTAGGCTGATTGAGGTATTGTGAACAGGCAAACACACAGAGCTAATTCTTTGGCTAGGCTATGGTGCCATGGTTATGTTAACTTTAAACAACGCATGCCTGTTGAGATCAACTAGGTTCTATCCTAGGGTATTTTTACCTAATTGCCCTGATTTCAGAGAACACAGTGTTGTTATGCATCCCTGAGAAATGCACCTTTTAGAGCTATTACTGTGAAGTAATTACCTGTTTAAGATTGATAAAGGAGCATGTGGGCATAATGTAATACATCATTTCCAGTTAATACCTATCCTTAATCATTTAATAACGAAATACTATGTCTGCTCTTAAATGTTTAATCAGGAGAGGAAAATCCTCTCTCCCAGGTTGGCATGCACAGTATCTGTCAAAGGCAGAAGAATGACATCTCTAGAGATGAAATTTAAAGCATCACACTGGCCCCTCATTTTTAAAGGCCAGATTCTTCCCACCCATTGGTATGCAGAAAGTACTTGTGTCTCCATGTTGTGACCAAGATAGGGGTCATAGAAAAAGTCAAGGAGAGTTAACAGCCTTGTGCTTAGCAGAGGGCAGATAGTTACTGTAGGCCTGGTTTGGGGGACTGGACCTTTACTGTGAGGGTGGTGAGGCACTGGAACAGGTTGCTCAGAGAGGCTGGGGCAGCCACATCCATGGAAGTGTTCAAGGCCAGGTTGGATGAGACTTTGGACAACCTGGTCTAGTGGAAGGTGTCCCTGCCCATGGCAAGGGGGTTGGAACTAGATGATCTTTGAGATCCCTGCCAACCCAAACCATTCTATGATTCTATAAAGGCTGATCTTGGCATCTCTCTGTGATGGCCAGTGAAGTGAGAGGCATGGCTGTGTGGCAAAAGTCACCTGCACCTCTCAAATGACTGTGTGTGCCTGGAAACCTTTTGCTGACTCAGTTCTTAACAGCAGGATGTTACTGCATATTATAATCCATTGTAAAGTTGGTTTTGTCATTGAATATTTGTGGAAGCCTGAGAGGTTCTTTTGGTATGTTTGTTTTAGTTTTCTTCCCTTCCTTTCTTCTCTGTCACCAGCATATTAAGAGGAACTAAGGCTACAATGTCACTCGAAGAGAAATTAGGAAACCAACATACAATGAGGAGCTCAAGAGAAATTAGGAAACCAACATACAATGAGGAGCTCTTCATTTTCAGGAGTACTGTGTAGAAATATCGTTTCCTTTCACACAGAAGCTATACACTATCAAAATACACTATCACAAATGCTAATAGTTTATTGTTGTGGTTTAACCCCAGCCAGCAGGTAAGCACCATGCAGCTGCTCACTCACCTTTCCCCTCCCAAGGAGATGGGGAGGAGAATGGAAGAAAAATCTGTGGGTTGAGATAAAGACAGTTTAATAGGATAACAAAAGATGATGATGATAATAATATGAAGATTATTATGATGATGATAATAAGATGATGATTACGTCAATGCCCAAATGCAATTGCTCACCAAGTGCAGAAGGAAAGAAGAACCAGCAACCCGCTGCCCAGTCTGTTTCCGAGCTGCAATCCCACTTCCTGGCTAGCTTCCCCACTTCTATCCAGAGCATGACGTTACATGGTTGGGAATATCCCTTTTGCCAGGCTGGGTCACCTGTCCTGGCTGTGCTCTCCCAGCTTCCTGTGCACCTGACAGGGTGTGGGAAGCTGAAGAGTCCTTGACTTGGTGTAGGCACTACAACTACCTAGAAACAACTAAACCATCAGTGTGTTATCAACATTATTCTCATACTAAATCCAAAACACAGCACTACACCAGCTACTAGAAAGAAAATTAACTATCTCAGCTGAAACCAGGACATTTATTTAAATAGTTTTGCTATCAATTTTAATAAACTATAGTATATCTTTCTAGTTCAGTTGACAAAATGTACATGTAGACAATATTTGATGTTTTGACTTGAGAGAATTGATATCTCTCAGGTTTCTGCAGTCTGCACAATGCTGTCTACATGAGAAAAATATTTTTTCTGCTGCTGCTTTTGAGATAGAAATGGCTATTAAGAAGTTCCATGTTTTTAAAAACTGAGAAAAATGGCATCACAGTGAAATTGTGACTGTTTCCTAACATAAGACAGCTGACAGGTGAAAGACTGAATGGTTGGTATATACAAAGATTTTTTCTCATATGGTCTGTCCTCAGTTTTTAATCAATTTTTTTCTTTCAGTAGCACTTATGACTTGCAAAACATTAAAAAAAAGGACTTCTGTAAAACTTCTTGAAGAAAGAAATTGAATCAGGTTAATGTAATCTTGTTTGCTGATATTGAAATGTGAGATCAGGTATTTTAAGAGCTAATATACATTATTGAGTGAAATCTTTGCTTATTTTTTCTGTTTTGCCATGATTTATCTTGTAACTGGAAACACAGCAAAGTTTAATAACCTAATTTGCTCTGAATAAATTTTGAATCCATAAACTTCAGCATATATAGTCAGAGCAATCCAGTTTGGTAAGAATGTTATCATAGTGTGCTGAAAAATTTCTGGAAGAGATATACAAATACTGTTCAGTCCTAAGAAACATCTTTCAGGGTGTATCATTTTACTTTAATGATTCCTGGGAAAACAATGCTATTCTGGTGGTGGTTTTTTTGACACCATCAACTGATCTTTATGAATGGCTATGTCTTGATATAAATGTACCATTACTTTGCTGCTTTGGCATGGACTTTGTCATATTGTTATGAATGTACAAAAGAAATACCTGGATTTTTTTTTTCTTTTGTCTTGGAAGCTGTGGTAGAACTGCTTTTATGGGATGCTGAATTTATGTGCTATTTTATATCTTACAGCCTGAGAAGCTCCTTCTGTGTATGCTCAGTAAGCTTTATAGCATCTTTGCTCTGTGTAAAACCAGTGAAACTACTTTTTTACTCATTCTAGAAACCATGGAAAATGTTCTTTATTTGTTGATGGTATGTTACTGCATAGTTACAAGTCACATAGAGATGGAATTCAACAATTAAATACCATAACAATTAGGTTCAAACATAATTGTGTGTGCTGGATCAATAGGTCCTAGGTGTTGTGCCAAATACAATGAGGATTTATCTTTTGATGGACACATGAGATAAAATCCTTTTTTGAATGTAGAAGGTGAGTTGGAGTTATCTAAAAGCATTACAAACGTATCTTTTTGTACTTCAATCTTAAGTAATTCCTGCACAGTGGTTTTAAAAAAAATTAAATTAGATTTTCAAAGTATGGAAGAAATTACAATGTGTGTTTGGTTTAGATGAAGTGTATACAATTTGATTTCAAAGAGTAAGGTAATTTAAATAATGACTACTGATGTAGTTGCTGAGAAGTCTGTTTTCAGGAGTCAGTATTCACAGTACTTTTCTGTTATTTCTAAACTTGAGTCTTCCTTTTACCAGGTAATGTAGTCTTCTGGGATTTGTCTTAAAGTAGGATTTGAGATCTCTTCCAGCTCAGATTTGTCCTGAAATATATTTATTCCTATTTAGTCTTTGTAATAAGTTCAGATGATGCATCTTCTTCCCTGTAGCTATATCTCAAAGCTCTAGATCCTTCCTTCGTTCTCCACTTTTTAACAGGCAAGGTCTCCAACATATTGCCACACACATTAGTTTTATTTCAGAAATGCTGTTTGATGCATTTTTACCCTAAGACAATAAGAGTGTGTGTATGTTAATTTTCGTGTGTTTGTTTTTGAAGTATGGAGCTTAGTTTTTCTGTTAATGTTGAGTTTCTTCTGGTTTGTGCTATAGTGAAAGTGAAGTATAATCCACACTTATGTTGCTATAGTGTTTCTTCTGCTATGGTGGATTTCATTGAGTCAGACTTTCTCTTGCTTATCTGACAAATAATTGAAATGAAGAGCAGGAGGTCTCCATACAAAAAGTCTTGTGGAAAGTGTAGTGACCTCATTTATACTATCAGGAAGTGAATAATCTTTCTTAAATAGCTGGAATAGGTAAGCTAATTTATTAATTTGTTTCTCAGATTTTTGTCTTGCTGTCTTTATCTTCATTGTATGTATTGTCCAATCTTAAGTATCCACCTACAACAAAAGCCAGCAGTGAATGACGCAAGCGCTGACTGTATCTATTTGGAGTAAGAATTTTTAACAACTTGACTCCACAAAATATCTGACTATATAGCATCTGCTAGAATGTTCATCTGTGTTTTCAGGTGCACTACAATGTCGGCAAAAACCTGGCTGATAAAGGAAATCAAAGTGCTGCAATCAAATACTACAGAGAAGCTGTAAGGTATTAGGAATTTTACTGCTTGAATGAACTATCCTAAAATTGCTTTAATGTTTAACATGAAGAAAATGCTTAGGTATTCATTTTCATGATCTGCAGCATTGCAGAGCTAGCAATTTGCATATAGTGATGCATGTCCCATACATAATAATGTCTTAATGTCTTAAATTTTAAATTTTAGGTTGAATCCTAAATACGTACATGCCATGAACAACCTTGGAAATATTCTGAAAGAAAGAAATGAGCTCCAAGAAGCAGAGGAGTTGCTGTCCTTAGCTGTACAAATACAGTATGTTTAGAACAATGCTAAGCAGTGTTTTGCACCAGCTGAGCAGAAATGATGCAATAGAATCTTGTGTTCCAAATGCTCAATTGTCCTCTCTCTTAGTTGTTTGGTTGGTTTTTTTTTTTCCCCCAATTTGCCCAGACCTGATTTTGCTGCTGCATGGATGAATCTAGGAATAGTACAAAACAGTTTAAGAAGGTTTGAAGAGGCAGAGCAAAGCTACTGGACAGCAATTAAACACAGGAAAAAATACCCAGATTGTTACTACAATTTAGGGCGGTTGGTAAGTACTCGTGAATAAATGATAGCTATGACAGGAATCTGTCTGTGTGTATAAATATATCATTCCACTGCATTGTTAAATGCTAATAGTTATTCCAGTTTGTTTGATATGTAGTTCAGGGTGATTTCATAATTTCGGTAGCTTTTCCTATTGCTTTCCCAGTATATTTCCTTCCATACAACCTTTGCTTGTCCTACTTTTTCATATAAAGAGGTATAAACAAAAATATAGATTGTGGTCTTTTGTTCAAAAGACATTATTAAGCATTTTCCAGTATTAGACTGTTTTGCAAACATTAGTATATTGTTAGGTAGGAGAACTTTGCCAAAAAATTCCATTTAGATTCTTGGAAATATTTATATTAAATATTTACTTATTCTCTTGTGTAGATTTTTTAATTTTATGCTGGTTTTCTTCCCTATCCTATTGGTACATGCATATTTGAAAACAAGCCTGGGTCCCAGAGAAAAGCAGGGTAAAATTAGTATAAAGCACTATACCTTTCATACTACCCTAGTATTCTTTTTACATTTCTTATTGTTGTCTATAAAAACACATTTCTTATTTTTGTCTATAAAAACAAGTTCTACTAGAATGGAATGAAACATTAACAACTCTTCAGCATCTTTAGTGCATGATAGGAAAGTAAAGCAAATCAGGGTGAAATTACTGAGTTTTTCTTTCTTTTTAGTATGCAGATTTGAATCGCCATATAGATGCATTGAATGCATGGAGGAATGCTACAGTTCTGAAACCAGAGCATAGTTTGGCTTGGAACAATATGATTATATTGCTTGATAACACAGGTATAAGCCCACTTGAATGTTTTAATGAATAATTCAGTGTCTTGCAAAACTTAAAGCTTTATCTGTATTCATCTAAAAGGAGTTCTGTCTCTTCTTTGGCTACCCAGACACTCTCTATAAATACAAGAATACCTTCTCACTCAATGGTTTTAAAGCATCACTTGAAATCCAGCCTATAAATTGAATTTCTGATCCTTATTTGAATTGCCATCATTGTGAAAGCACGTTTGTATTATAGACCCAACTTCAGAACTTTTGAATCTATGCTTTGTTGTTCTTCTGAAAGTGTTATCTGTTAAAAACAAAATGGAGGTTTTCTATTGTCTTTTTCTTCAGGTTTTCTTCAAAAATGCATGTAGTCAGCTATTTATAAAAAAATGTGTGCTTGCAGCATGAAAAGTAACTAATAAGGCTGTGTTAAAAGATGCCTTCTCTTTTTCTACTACATGGGATCCCAGGCAATCTAGCTCAAGCAGAAGCAGTTGGAAGAGAGGCCCTTGAATTAATACCTAATGATCATTCTCTTATGTTTTCATTGGCAAATGTACTGGGGAAATCGCAAAAATATAAGGTAGGTGACTAGAGCTTTCTGAGCGTTAGTTGTATTTCTTTTTGTTTGGGTTTTTTTTTTTCTCCTGTTTAAACTGTTTAAGTTTCTGTAGAAAGTGTTTGAGGACTATGACTTAGATAATCAGGTTTAAATGCCCATTTCTGTCACAGTATTGCTGTGTGATTCTGGCCTTAGTTCATCCCACCTTATTTTAGATGCCTGCGTTAGGAATGTTGCTGCCCTAAACTATGTTAGTGGTCAGTGGGGAGAAATAGACTCTTGAGCACACTAGAGGGCAGTTAGGGTCTTGTATTGCTTCACTGCTGATGGAGAGAGCCTGCTCTGATTTAGAGGTCTTGGTTCAGGAACTAAAATTAGATGTGATATGCTAGTCCTTCTGCTTTTTGTGTGTAAAGGAAGCAAGGTTTACCATTATCCAGTATGAATTCTAGCCTCTTTGCCTCAGACGCTATCTAAAATAGAGATATTACAGATTTACTAATCCCAGATTGAGGGTGGGATACCTGGGTAATCCCAGAATATTATGAGGAAAAAGTCCATACATTAAGCAATGCATTGAACTTTCTCTTGGTTGCAGTGGACTGGCCTGCGAGTGGTACCTCAGTACTAGCTACTTACCTTTACAAGCAGTAAATATAATGGAACTGATGAGAATGAGTTACTTCCCAAAAGGAGTTGTATGAGCTGACAGAGAATAAATCATACACAGTTAATATATTTATTTGTTTTAAGTGACTCCATAGTCACTGATTGATGTATGTGATAGGGAGAAATTAATAATCAAGGAAGTTTGTGGTATTCCTCAGAAAAACATCATTTACTGAACTATGGCTTTGGGGAATTTTGATGGCTTTTTGATAGTGCTAATGTTAGCAGCACTGAAGGAACATCCTCACTATATGCAAAATAAGAAGATTTTATTATGTTAAACTTCTGAGAATAGATACATTTTTCCACCAATTTCTGTGTCCACTTAAATTTGTACAGTCCTGTTCAGCTGTGGAGTCGTGACCTGTCCACATGTGAAGCCAGGGTCTGTGACAACCCAGCACTTACTTTTGTCTGTTAGTGATGCCATTAGACAGCCCCCCCGTTACTGTTTCTCTCCACTGGCTGAGGTGTTTTTCTGTACACTCTCTTTCTTTTCTCTCTCTGCCTGAGAAAGTTATAAAATATATATTTTAGATTACCAAAGTTCCAGAGAGATTCAAATTAACATCCAGAATGTATAAGGGATGAGATTATGGAGGAGATAATTGCTAGGATTATTTTGGTGAGTCATGACTGTGAAAGAATAGAGGATTGTGTAGATATTCATCAAGAAGAGTATGCAGCATGACAGAATAACGAGCATGTATAATGAAATAAATAGAAAAAGTAAGTTGAACACAAGCTAGAAAACTTCCAGGTGTAGTAGAAACAAGTCTGTCTTAGTGGATTTAAAAAATAAAAAAGGAGGTGGTGATAAGGGGCGTTCCTCGGGGGTCTGTATGGGGACTGCCACTATTTAACATCTTTGTTGGCGACATGGACAGTGGGATCAAGTGCACCCTCGTCAGCAAGTTTGCCGACGACACCAAGCTGTGTGGTGTGGTTGACACGCTGGAGGGAAGGGATGTGATCCAGAGGGACCTTGATAGGCAACTTCATGAAGTTCAACAAGTCCAAGTGCAAGGTCCTGCACATATGGGTTGGTGCAATCCCAAGCACGACTATAGGCTGAGTGGAGACTGGATGGAGAGCAGCCGTGAAGAGAAGGACTTGGGGGTGTTGGTGGATGAGAAGCTCAACCTGAGCCCACAACGTGCGCTTGCAGCCCAGAAAGCCAGCTATATCCCTTGCAACACCACTAGATTTGCCAAATGTTTGAGTCTCAGTATGTTTCACAGGTGACTGAGTTAGAATCATGGAATAATTTTATCAGAAGTGACATCCAGAGGTCATCTAGTCCAACCCCTGACCCAAAGCAGGGCCATCTCCAGTTGAATTTTGAATGTCTCTACAGATCTTGATTGTAAAACCGCTCTGGACAGCATCCTCCAGTGCTTGACCACCCTTATGGTAAAAAAAAAAACAACAACAAAATTGTTTTCTTTATCTGATTGGAATTTTCCATATGCCAGCTTGCATCCATTGTGTCTCATCCCATCTCACAGACTTGTGAGAAGAGTCTGTCTCCATCTCTGTATCATCTGATCAGGTACTTGTAGATAGCAATAAGGTCTCCCCTTCATCTTCTTTTCTGAAGGCTGAAGAGATCCAGTTCTTTCAGCTGCTCCTTGTATGTCTTGTGCTCCAGCCCCTAACCATCTTGGTGGCTCTCTGCTGGACTTACTAAAGTATGTCCATGTCTGTCTTGTAATGGAGAGCCCCAACCTGAACACGTACTGCAGATGTGGTCTTACAAGTGCTAAATAGAGGAGAAGGATTACTTCACTGGACCTGCTGGCTGTACTTCTACTTAATACAGCCCAGGATGTGGTTGGTCATCTTTGCTCTGAGGGTACGCTGATGGCTTTTATCCAATTTGCTGTCTACCAGGCCCACAAGATCCATTTCTGTAGAGCTGTTTCCTAGATGGTTGCCCTCCAGCCTGTACATTTGTATGGGGTTATCCCATCCCAGATACAGGACTTTGCATTTACTGTTGTTGAACATCACGAGATTCCTGCAGTCCGATCCTGTTCAACATCTTCATTAATGATCTAGATGGTGGGGCAGAGTGCACCCTCAGCAGGTTTGCAAATGACACAAAACTGGGAGGAGTGGCTGATATGCCAGAGGGTCATGGTGCCCTCCAGAAGGACCTCGACAAGCTGGAGAAATGGGCTGGTAGGAACCTCATCAAATTCTACAAAGGGGAAGTGCAAACCCTTGCAGTTGGAGAGGAACAACCCCAGGCACAGTACATGTAAGGGGCCACCCAGCTGGAAAGCATCTTGGCAGAAAAGCACCTGGGGGTCCTGGTGGACACCAGATTGGCTGAACATAAGCCAGCAACGTGCCCTTGCCGCAAAGAAGGCTGTGTTAGGAGTGTTGCCAGCAGGTTGAAGGAGGTGATCTTTCCTCTCTACTGGTGAGGCGACACCTGGAGTCCTGTTTCCAGTTCCCAGAGAGCCATGAAGATACTAGAGACTGTCCAGCAAAGGGCCATGAAGATGATGAAGAGACTGGAGCATCTTTCCTATGGGGAAAGGTTGAGAGAGCTGGAACTGTTTAGCCTGGAGAAGAGGTCTCAGGGGGAGGATGTCAATATATATATATAAATACCTGAAGGTGCAAAGAGGATGGAGCCAGGCTCTTTTCAGTGGTGCTGAGTGACAGGGCAAGAAGCAATGGGCCCAAACCAAAACATGGGATGTTCCCTCTAAACATCAGGAAATGCTTTTTTACTGCAACTGACTGAGCACTGGCACAGGTTGTCCAGAGAGGTTGTGGAGTCTCCATCTTTGGAGATGCTGCCTGGCCATGGTCCTGGACAGCTGGACCTGCTTGAGCAGGGAAGTTGGACCCGATGACCTCCAGAGGTCCATTCCAATCTCAACCATTCCATGATTCCTGCTAGTCCATTTCTCTGTCTGTCCAGGTCCCTCTTAACAGCAGCTCTCCCCTCCAGTGTATTAACCACTCCCTCCCCTTAGGTGCTATCTGTAAAGTTTTGAACGTGCATTCAATCCCATCATCCAAAACTTTAATGAAGACACTAAATAGTATGGGTTTCAAAGAGACCAATGCATCCAGGAATGTTAATAGTCTGGGTATGAGAATGCTGGAGCTGCTGCTTATGCCAGGGAAAGGCAATGCTAAAACTCGCACTATGGAGTCATATACTCCCTAAATTTCCAGACATCTGGTTTCCTTGTTTGTTCCTATCCAAGTATTCCTTCTCCTGAAACAGGATGTCCTGCAAAAGGATTCATCAAGAACCCTAGGGTTTGTAATTTTCTTGACCTGAGAAGATGAAGGCACTTTCTGCATCAGCCTCTCTCGATTTCGGAGTGGCAGCCTCAGCTGTGCTAACGAATGCTTTGAAAGGAGCATGTAGTTTGAGTTTCAATTTGGACATACTGGGAAGCTCTTAAGTCACTCAAAGTTGAGTGACTCAATCTTGACATCAGAAATTTCTTGTCCCCTGAGGGACCCTTACAGAGACTTACTTCATGCTTCACATGAGAAGATGCTGGAACCAAAAATCTGGCTGACAGGTTTTCTTTTTCAGTAGAGCCTGTGTTGTGTTTTGTGGATATAAGTAATAAAAGCTTAGCACAAAGGAAAGGCCTTTTCCCCAGGTTATTGTTCTCACATACCTCAGACAGCAAGTATGTGCATTCAGATGGAAGCCTACTGCACTGAAGTAATTTTATCTTCAGGTCATTTGCATTGAAACTGAATGGGTAACTTTCCCTAAAACACAGCACAGCAGAGAAATCTATGTAAAATTTGTTCTCTAAAATATCTACACTTACATGCAAGCGAGTAAATATGCTCCATTTGGATTGGGGAGGGAATGCATCTTTTTAAACTTCTGCAGGAAATATTCTCTGGAACAAAAGTATCTATATTAGCAGCTGGTTTGGGAAAATATATAAAAATGTTTGAATTAGAGAATAAATTTAGCAGTAAATTGTTCTCTGAATATTTGGTGAGGGAGCTCAGCTTTTCTAAGAAGTATTCAGATATCAACAGTCCCAGGAGTACACACCACAAGTGGGAATATGGAAAAGATAACTTGTGAGGAAATGTGAGGAATATTTAAGTTGGCTTAATCTTTTTTAAGTAACAGGCACTCAGCTACTCTTCATTGACAACCATGCTGAAACATCTGTTTGAAAGGGATTTGTCCCCATTTTAAATGCTAAAAACTATTTTAAAGGGAAAGGTGTCTAAAAGCAGTTTGCTCAGATACTGAATTATATTGTCTTTAACTTAATTGAAAAAGTAGGGAAAATTTCAGTAGGTAATGTTTGCAAATATTATAACTATGAAAAAAAAATTTTAAAAATTATTTAAGCAAACTGCTTTGTAAACTTCACTGGTACTTAATAGCTCTCTGCTAAAATAACAGCATCCTGTGAAAGCATGGTACTTATTCGTTGCATTATTACTGTTTTCTGGAGGTTGTAGCCACATGAGCTACAGGATCACGGAAACTTAGAATATATATATGGTGGTATCCTACAGATATGGCATAGTTTGGGAGGCTTTTAATTACAATTGTGGGTAAATTTTGCATTATTTTATATACTACAAGAGTAGACTGTCCTGTTGACTTGTTGTTCTAAATTATTCAGGAATCTGAAGCTTTATTCCTCAAGGCGATTAAAGCCAATCCAAATGCTGCCAGTTATCATGGTAATTTGGGTAAGAGCCTTTCTAACTCTTATCAGCTGTATTGTTTGTTTGCTTCATATTCATTGTGTTTAAAAAGAAAAAGCAATCTTTTTAGCCTTCTTCCTGCTGGGCAGACTTCTATTTTACTTCCTAGAAAAACTGCCAGCCAGAAGAACAGGGCACTAAACCAGAAAAGCTGTCACACGATATGACAGATCAAGAGGGCTGCACAATCCAGCCCAGAGGTAGCTGCACTTCAGTGTCTGCAAATTGGTTCATTTATGCTATGCTTGTAACCCGCAATGAGCTCACCAGATAAGAGCTGCCATTTATGGCTGCAGTGTAATTCATTCCTTCATCATTCCCATGCCAGTTCTGCTCCGAGGCTTTGCTCCTGCATTTGGCAACAGAACAAGCAGCTACTGTGCCACCAGCCAGCGAGAGACCCTCACTGGAAACAAATGCTTTAATGTTGTTTTCCAAGTGATTGGCAAGATTGCACGTTATTCAACAATATTGCTAATGAAATTCCTCCTTGATGTTCCAGCTGTGCTTTATCATCGCTGGGGAAATCTTGACTTAGCAAAGAAGCACTATGAAGTCTCTCTGAAGCTTGATCCTATGGCACCCGGGACCAAGGAAAACTACAACCTCTTACGAAGAAAACTGGAGCAATTGCAAAAGAAAGGCGGTGCCTGATGTTTCTTTTCAGGTTGTCCGTGCATGCTGTTTACATGGGTATTTTGACCATGTAAAGGATTCAGTCATTATTTCTCAAAAATAATACCACCACCAGCACTGCACACTTGAATGTCCAATTATGCCCTCCTACAGATCCTAACGTTTCAGCTGCAGTTTGAGAGATCATTTTATTTTTACTCTTGAACTGCTTTTAAAGTCCCTTAGAACATTTTTATAGGTATATGAAAGCAATGCAGATGGAATTTCACAGCTTTCACTTGTAATTTGATATCTTCATCTGACTTTTTAGTAGCAGGATGAATATCAGAAGGCAGTTTTATTTCTGAAAGTCATTCTTTAAAAAGTGCAATTTCCTGTTTAAATCCTGATCTTTTCAAGTGCGAAGAATATCTGTCCACTTCAGTTTTATTACTGCCTTCTACTGCCAGTCCTGCAGAGCCAGTGGAAGAATGGATTCGCTCCAGCACATCAGTCTGCTTGTAATTTGAGTTAATGCCCTCGTTCTTCTTTGTGGCTCCACCGTTCAAAGTGTTGGATTTGTATAGGAGTAAATGAGGACAAGGATTTGACCATAACTGTTTGTCAGGTGGTGTACTGTTGAGGTATGCTTGAGTGGAGAAAATACTCTTAGGTGAAGACAGAGACTTTAGCAAGCAGCAAAGGCAAAAGAAGTGTGAGGTGACAGTGGAGTCGGCTAGAGTTTCTCTTCTCGCAGGCAGCCTCATCTAGCATAGACAACTGGGGCAACAAGTCAGAATTGCTTTAGCTCCTGCTGCAGGTCAGTGGTCTAAAGACAGTATAGCGACTACAGGAGCTAATTCCTGTGTTCTCAGGCATTTCAGTCCTTTCCGGTTGAGGACATTACACCTCTCAGATCTTATATTGTAGGTGAATAAGGAGAGAATTTGTGTTAAAAAGTAACTAGGCAGAGCACCTGACCTTGGCTGTTGATGTATTAACTGGAAGGAACTCGGATTCACCTTTGTCTCCAATGGCTCATGCATTTGCTGAAGTGCCAGTTAAATAAGCATAGCTGTTAATGTATAAACTGATCATATTGGTGTGGGATGATTCAGAGATGGTACACATCAAAATGATACTTTTCAAAATGTGCTGTGCTTTAACATACATTTAAACTCTGGCTGCCCAGAGGTGTTTGTCTTGTGCTATTGCTTCAGGAAGTAGTCATATGTCTATTTATTTGTTGGGGTTTTTTCTTGAAGATTGAAAGATTGCTATTGGATGTGAAAACTGAGGAACTTTACCTCTCTTTTCATGTTCTTTTATGCTTTCCCTCTGTTTCCCCTGATAGGGAAAAAAATAATCAGTGCAGTATTTGCAGCTTTCCTAATTTGTCCAGTGATTATTGTATAGAGTTTGTGGAATGTTCTTCATACACATCTCACCTATGTGTGGAACTGTTTAAAGTGTAGAAGGAATGCCTGCTGTAGGACAGGATGTCGTGTGACCTTGCCATCTGACCACCATGTAACCATTCTACATCTATACTATGTTTTGAACCTAGGCTACTTTTACGTTATGAATTTTCTTGGAAATGACAGTTGTTCTTTAAAGTTGTTTCAATGTGCAGAGCACATTGCAATACTGGAGAGCTACCAAAGCATCCTCTTGACAAAGCTAGTTTGGGTACTACAAGTAGTGCAGTTACTTTAATGTAAGATATTCTTGCCAGACTACTTATAAATCTAGCCAGCATCGCTGTGGCAGTGTGGTGCTGTCCACAAATTTGGTTTTGAATGAATTGATATGCCTATATTACATAGTATGTTGCCATACTGATTTTAGCTGAGGTACCAGAGGCAGGTATTTGTGCTAGTGCAGTGCTCCTCTCCTGCTAATAGAGCCTCAGCCTCTCAGCAGGACTAATCAGTTCATATAAGGTACTAAGTTGATGCAGTTGTTTCCATTTCTTCTGGTTTCTGGACAAAATTTTCAGAAACCAGTTCCTGAATATATTTGCAGGTAAAACCACAACACATGCTCTCTGAGAAGTATCTGTACTGATCCAGCAGAAAGCTGCACTGGTATGGATGGCTAGTCATCTTCTGATAACCAGCATAGTTTAGTCAGTACTAACTTTTGTATCTGAAACATGCTGAAATAAGTACACCCTTCAGTACAAACAGCAGACTTTTAAGGCTTTCCATACATAGCCTATTATTCATTGGTTATAGAGAACACTTAGCTACTTCAGTCATGAGGTATTAAGGAGTTGGGATGTGGCTGGATGAGCTAGTTTATAGCAGAAGATAAATGTGTTTAATATGATCAGGTCTTTTCTGTATATCTGGAATATGACATACTGAGTTTAAATTATTATTCTCATCATGAAGTTCACATGTATAGTTTTCCCTGTTGCCTGCCATATTAGCTTTACAGAAATCCACTAGATCAATATTATGTATGGGGTATGAATTCTCTCTAGATCATCATAAACCAAAGTTATTGTAGGAATTCCTCTGTGGGAGTCAGTTTGTCCTTCTACTCAAGAGTCTCACATGGAAGAGACATGCCAATAAATTGGATGTTTTGTTGGTATTTGAAAATGGTGTTTACTCTTTAATATAGACAACACGATTTCTTCTGGATTAATTTTCTGTCAACCTGTATATATTTTTGTGAGGGTTTGTTTTATATAATTTTCACTGCTATAGAAATTCAATGTGATTACTTCTATGATGGTAATAAGGATACGCTTATGTCTGAGTAATGTTGAGGCAGAATTGGGTTCAAAAGAAGCAACAAACAAGACTGCTTTTTTAATAAAAATTCCTTCAGACTTTCAAGAATGCTAAATATTTTTTTACTTTATTTTCAGAAATATTTTGAGAGTGCAAATAATACAGTGAGTTTTATTAAAATGTTTATCATGTTAACCTTTTGCTTGTTTTTCATACCTCATAACTGACTCCTGGAATAGTGCGGAACACACAACCTGGAAGAGAGAAGGGTGAAGAAAAAGTGGGTTTGTACATAACTGTTGTTACAAACATTGCCTGTCTTTCCAGCGTGCTGGATCTTTTTCCCCATGTTATCTTTCCACCATTGCTAATTACAGAAGACTGAAGTTTCCTTCTTATCAGCTGGCCTGCTTGATTCTGTAGTGAGATTAAGAAACCTGGATACATTTTTTTTTTTTTTTTCCTCAAAGATTGCTTGTTCGAATACAGTTCTGAGGAGAGAAATACAGAATGATTCAACGCATAGAATGGACTCAGAAAAACATTCATAACAACGGCTAGGGCTGACTGTCTGTCTTCACCAAAAACATCCAAAGGAGTTCTCTAATTGTATGTTTCTCTCGTGTTTAGACCAATGCCATGTACATGAAGTTTCCTGTTATTTAATTTCATATTTTGGATTTAAACTTTAGATATGTGGGTTGTGTGTGTTTATGAGCACTCAGAAATAAAAAACTTCAATACTTTTGAATGGTTTGTTTAAAATATTGGGCTTATTCACTGGGAACTTGTTTCCTTCATATTTGAGATACCTGCATCTGAGCTATTCATCCTAGTTTCTCTGTGGAGTCACGGGGAAAAAAAACAGGAAATCTGAAACATCATTCATCCCCTAAAGAAAAGCATCCTTAGGATCTGAGGCATCATGTACTTGAAGCAGGCATTTTTCTTCACTAACTTCAAAGGGTAACTGAGGTGATCAGCTCATATGTATGAAGAAAATCTCACTGCTGCTTTCAGTTGAAGTAATCCGGTCTCGTACACCTCTATCATTCTCATACATTATTTGCACCAAGAACATTAAAAGATTGGTATTAAAGCAAATTGGCAGGTACTTGCCTTGAGAGTCAGAGGGTTATAGTAGCTGAATGAGGGAATGAGATGAGACAAATTAAGAGAGCTTTCTGCAGATAGTTAAATTTATATGGCTGATAAAGCATCTGAATGTCAAATCTCTACCTACAGAAAAAGAACATTCAAGTCCAGTTTGATCCATTGGTAGTTTGTCTATGGTCACAATAAATGGCAACAACTTCTTACTATATTGACTTTTGGTGTCCTTCACTTTGTTTTAAAAGCAATCTAAAGCAACTGTAAATTTGCAAAGGTGAGATTTTTTTCTTAAATTGAAGGTTCTACTTCAACCTGTAGCTGTTAGAATGTTAAATGTGATAGCATAGCCCATTTCTGTATGGTGGGGTGGTTTTAGTTTAAATATCTGAATATTTATTTGCTGGTTCCTGCTTGCATTCCACGCCATGTGAGCATAGGTACATTGACATACCTACCATGCCATATAGATTCCCACCTGATTCTTGACTTGGCCCTTTCCACAGCTCTTGATATGTCGCTACCAAATGTGTGTTCATGAGGGCATCTTTAACTCAAAAAGACTAAAATTTGCCAGAAACAAAAGTGAGATCACATGTTTGATATTTCTGTGATGTAAACACTGAGGGAGTCAAAATTCTGTTGTGTACCACCATAAGCAGCAGGTACCGCTGGTAATGGCTGCTGTAGGCTCTCTGCTGGGCTCCACGATAGCATGAGGCGCTTGTGGATAGGTGTAATGTTATAATCCTGTGCTTTAAGGAAAAAGGACTGTATAGCCACTCGGAAGAAGAGGATGTGCACAGCCGCTTGGGCTACGGAGCGCTGGAGGACAGATTACCTTTGTATTAGAAAGCTGCACTGCAGTATCGTGGCATGGGTGTACAGTGCGTGTCAGTGATGTATTACATGTCAAGTGCTTCAGGGCTTTTTAAAATAAGTATTTTTGTTAGGAAAAAAACCTACAGATACTGAAAATGGTAGCCTGTGATTGCCGAGTTGAACTGTTTCTTTAATGTAGTGTTAATCATTTAGATTGCCAATGGTACGTTCTAGTTTCTTTTCAGCTGAGCAAGCAGTAAATACATTTGTAATGGAGCCATGTAATAAATCTGCATTTTGCTATCTTTTTGCATAGATTTTAACTGTGATAAAGGTGTTTATTTTTGTAGCAAGTTTTTGATT